GTCAAGGCCTGCGAACGCCATGCAGATACCTCAACAATCTCCTAAGCCTGCAACCTCGATCAATGACTGCCACTGGGATCGAAAGTAACTGGATCTGCACACAAGGTGCAGGGGGTAACGTGAGTACACCAACTCAGTAAGTAGCAAGTCCATACTATGGACTGATAGGTAGTGACGGACTCAACCTCATCAGGGATAATAGAAATAACGTTCAGAAATGTAGGCATGCTTTCAGTTAATAGCTAGCTCAAAACAGTGAAGCAGAGCAGATATGAATCATGATAAAGAAATATAACCCTGCTACATCTACATGCCAATGCACATGCTGTATATAATGCGCCATGCTGAGTGCCTCATGTGTACACAATCCTAAATGCTTGTCCACTCAGTACTGTTTATGGCTCATACGGCCCAGGGAAGAACCATCCCGGAATATATACATCTCTGACAGCAGTCACTCAGTACTGAGGAAGGGCAATCCAGCCCTATGGAAAAGATCCATCTCCAGATAATGATAATAACCTCACAACCACTCGGTACTGTATATGGCTCATACGGCCCATAGAAGATTCATCCCGGAATATATACATCATTAGCTATCAGTCTCCAGTACCGAGGAAAAACAGGCCAATCCAGCCTCATGGAGAAGATCCATCTCCATACCAAGGGAAGATCCATCCCTGAATATAATCAACCGCGCTCACAGGGGGTGTGTTACAGACTCTGGAGGGGCTCCTTCAGCCTAAGCGATATCATAATCATCATTATAATTGCTGCGGTGTGCAGCCCGACCTAATAACTGTCACTCATAATCAGGCTCTCGGCCTTACTCAGTCATCACTCTCCAGTCTCACCACGGGCTCACAAATGCCATGAAACTATCCCGGAACAATGATATGATGTTCAAGTAAATAGCAACTGAGACTGAGAAGTGATGAAATGCATGAATATGACTGAGTACAGAATATCAATGAAATCAGTGAGATGATAACAAGAAAACGACCACTCGAGGCCCAACAGTATCGACGTAATGCCCTAGCTTGATAACTAGCATGATTTACAGTCCATTTACTTTATCACATGAAGAAACACAGATATCAACAAGATAGGATCACTAATCGGTACCATAGAATATACCAGGTCACAATTCTCATGGTGCACGCCCGCACGCCCGTCGCTTGGTATGTGCGTCACCTCAATACTAATCACATAACACGTAGTACGGGGTTTCGAACCCTCAGAACCAAGTTTGAAAGCGTTACTTACCTCAACCAAGCCAAAATCCTACTCCGCGATGCCTTTGCCTCTCGAACCGGCCTCCAAATGCCTCGAACCTAGCCAAAAATAATCCGATACAATCAACACGAGCTAAAGGAATCAATCCCATAAGATAATGCTAAGCTTTAGTTCAAAAGTCAAAAGGTTAACTCAAATGCCGGGCCCCGGGTCCACGTATCAAAATCCGACAAAAGTCACAAAATTCGACAACCCATTCGATTACGAGACTAACCATACTAATTTCACTCAATTCCGATTTCGAATCGGCTTCCAAAGCCCAAATGTTCATTTTATGAAACTCTACACATTTTCTCCCAAATTGCAAATCAAATGATGAAATCAATGATAGATTTGTGATTAATAGCCAATATCGAGTTAGAATTACTTACCCCAATGATTTCCTTGAAAAACTTCCGAAAATTCGCCTCAAACCGAGCTCCCAAAGTCCAAGATGTGAAATAAAACCCTAAACCTCGCTTATATAGTGCTCTCTGAACTTCCATTCCGCGGTCCGCGTATTTCTCACCGAGGCTGCACACTCCCCACCGCGGTCCGCAAAATTCTACCGCGGCCGTGGGCCCTGGGATATCAACTATCGCGATCCGCATAAAATTCACCATGGCCAAACAATCCTCACCGCGGTCCGCGAAATCCTGTTAAGGACACATAGTACCATCGCGGTCCGCGAAATTCCCTCCGCGGCCGCACTTCCAAGATCCGAGACATGCAACTTTCCAACACCAGATATCAGATATTTTCCAACTTCCAAAGCCAAATAGTGATCCAATAACCACCCGAAACTCACCCGAGGACCTCGAGACCTCGACCAAACATACCAACACATCCCATAACATCATTCGAACTTAGTCGAACCTTCGAATCACTCAAAACAACATCAAAACTTCAAGTTACACTCGGATTCAAGCCTAAGAACTTCTAAATTTTTAAATTCCACAAACGATGTCGAAACTCATCAAATCACGTCCGAATGATCCCAAGTCTTGCACACACTTCATAAATGACCCTACGAACCTACTCCAACTTCCGGAATTCCATTCCGACCCCGATATCAAATTTTCCATTGCCGACCAAAAATCACCAAATTTCCAATTTTCGCCAATTCATGTCTAATTCTGCCACGGACCTCCAAATCACATTCCGGACGCGCTCCTAAGTCCAAAATTACCTAACGGAGTTAACAGAACCATCAAAATTCCAATCCAAGGTCGTTTACTCATAAGTCAATATCCGGTCAACTTTCCCAACTTAAGCCTTCTCAAAAGAGCTAAGTGTCTCATTCCACTCCAAAATCACCTCGGATCCGGATCAACCAACACGATACGTTAAAACACAGCTAAAGAACACCAAAGAAAGCAGAAATGGGAGAAACGGGTCTATAACTCATGAAACGACCGGCCGGGTCGTTACACCAACCCATTAATGCCAAAGCTCGTGTGGATTGCATTAGGTTAGGGAGAAATTCAAAAATAGCCAGATTTACAAGTGGTCATTCAAAAATAGCCCAGTTTCAAAAGTAATCGAAATTTAGCCACTTTTCATGTAAAGATAAATCTGAGCGAAAACACTGTTCAAAACCCGAAAAATACGCCAGTATATTATGCTAGAGTTCCAGCATAAGTATACTTAAACTCCAGCATATTATACTGGAGTTCCAGGATAAGTATGCTGGAACTCCAGCATAATATGATGGAGTTCCAGCATAAGTACACTAGAACTCCAGCATAATATACTGGAGTTCCAGGATAAGTATGCTGGAACTCCAGCATAATATGATGGAGTTCCAGTATAAGTACACTAGAACTCCAGCATAATATACTGGAGTTCCAGCAAAGTATACAGGTCTAGTATAATATGCTGGAAATTCATACACAAGTGCTCGAATCTCCAGTATATTATGCTGGAACTTTCTGTGTGTTGGAGTTCCAGCATAACATGCTGGAAGTTCATACACAGGTGCACCGAACTCCAGTATATTATGTTGGACCGGTCTCTGTTACAGCAAAATAGTGGTTATTTTTTATTGACTTGGTAAACGCTAGCTATTTTTGAATGACCAGTCCAAAAACTGGCTAGACCGTGCTTTTCTACGTTAGGTGAGGCTAGGCCGGTCCATATTGACGGCCCTAGTTGAGATGGAAACTTATGTTAATTTTCGGTTAACTTTGAAAAGTCTAAAAGTTGCTGACATCCATAGATACTACTTAGCTTTTGCGAAATCGATATGTGACTTTGCTAAATCATACTTGTGTTGTCATATTGATATCTGAAGTGTGACATCCAATTTGGTTGAAGAATTTCGAAAGTACAAATAAAAGTGAAGCAGAAGATGAACTTTTAGTCGCTTTATAAAGGCGAGCCTTGCTTAGTCCATAAAGATATAATAAAATCGTCCTTGGAGTATAATATAAACTTTCGTTCACAAACTCACTTTTAGGAAACTATGTTATCTCCATATATATGTTACTCTGAAGCGTTTTGATCACCCTAAGCAAGAAATAGCAAGGAATATTTTTGGATGTTTGACAAAAAAAAAAAAAAAATTCCTGGCTAGCTAGTAAATGCTTAGGAATGATGTAATTCTGTTTGTACATAACACAGTTAGCTGGAATAATTAATATATTGAGCATTCATTCATGGAATCTAGTCTTGCGTCATTTTTTCTTCCTTTCCCTCTTTCCTTAGCCTAATCATGTAGTGTGATTTGATATAACTCGAACATCGGCTAGCACCAACGGAAGCATAGTCGATGGAGTTGAGGAAATCGTCATCTTATTCTTGGATTCTTAAACTTCTTATTTATTTTTTGGTTTAAGTGTTTAATCATTTGGTATCTGAAATTCACTAGCCCAATTAATTCAGATTCGTGTTGCGTAGAGTTTATTAGGGAAGAAGCGCTCCCTACCCGGGATTTCTGTATTTTCAAAGCTCGAACCGAAAACCTCTTATTAAGGGTGGGGAAAACAATTCAAGATGTATTTATATATGTTAAAGAATTAGAGAACCTTCATTTCCTCATTTGAAATTTTACTAGTAACCTCTACTCATAAAGGCAAAGGATAAGGTGGAATAAGAATCATTTTTAGAACTAAATGGGTGGAAAACTTTGCCTACCACTGTGATAAAGAAAGAACATTGGGGATCAAAGTGATTCCTTCTTGGTGGAGATGCTCAAAAGAATACGGAACTTTTTCTATATAACATTTGTGGTGTGTATGTTGTTTTTATTAATTCATCTCTAGGCCAATATAATGTCCCACAATATGTTTCATGTTGTCCCAAAATTTCGTGGTCTTTATATATTGAATGTAGTAATTAATTTCCTTTTGCGGTTGTGTTTAGTTTTATGTTAGTGTCAGAATATGCTCGAGGTTTATGTCTTGATTTTGTTAAGAAGAGCTTTGGCAATTGTGCTTGTTAACAACAGTAACCCTCTGTTATATGTTTATTAACCTTTTAAGAACATTTCTAAAATGACATGCAGGCCTTGCTTGGAAATAGTTGTGAAGTCTATAAATGTATTTAATTCTAAATGAGATTTTGAGGACATTTTATGGTTATGTCAATGAGGACAGGCCTAATCAGTTGTCTTTCTTGAGTTATCTGGCAGTTCACAAAGATCTAATTGGAGAAAACAGAGAGAACAGTAATAAAAAAAAAAAAAAATCCAAAATCATTGTTGCACAATTTTATGGAACATTGACTTGAGGATCAACTAGAAAATCCAGCCTTTGCATTACTCTTTGTTTCTTTTCAACAGTTCTGTTTCACACTCAACAAATTACATTAAGCAAAGGAGATTGTGGATTCTCCATAAACCAATTAATGTTAAGCAAAAAGACTTCAAGTCAAATTCCTTCCTTGAGTTCCATTTATGCTTGATCATACATCAGGGACACAATAATAAACCATACCAAAGCATTGATCAATAACAGCCCTGCAAAAAACAACACAGTAATTGTAAGACTTCAGAAGCAACAGAATGCATTAGAAAATCTCAAAATTTCTTTTACCAGTTTGCCAAGGGACAGTTCTAAAACTGTTACTCCAGGGTACTCCAAGAAAACAATCTGTTGTTGTGTTAACTCCACTTGGACAGTTGCAAATAAAAGAATTATAAGGACCACAATATCCACAAACTCCATTAGTCTTTTCACAACTAGCACACATTTCAGGGTAATCATTGTTGAAATTGAACTTGTATTTCAATGCCACTCCATATTTCCAGGCCTGTGGATTGGTATCTTGACCATTGAAACCATAGAGAGCTGAGTAAGATGTGCAATGCAGTTTCTCCAAATCCATCTCGAACGACGGCCCAAGATCAACTGGAGTGTAAACACAACAAGTGGAAGTTGGGAGATTAAGCCTGCTCATTGCTTGACAAGAATAGAGAAGACTACAAACAGGATCCCCCTGAGAAGAATCACATAGAGGGAACGTCGAATTCATCCCTCCGTTGGACTGGTAAATTGGCGAAGAATCGGTTGAGCAATCGAGCAAAGCAAAAACTGTTTCATCATGAAAGTTGAATGGTGCTTTCCAGTCTAAACTGAAACCTTTGCTTGGCTGTGTACAAGCACAAGTTGACATAGAAGGATCACTGATGTATAAAACTTGGCTGTTGTAATCTATGGATGTGACAGGGTAGCATCCAGTGTGAGTTTTGAATGTGAGCTGCTGATTGTTGCAGGTAATGAACGGCTGGAAACGCGGATCGCCACAGCCAGGTCCAGTGCCAAAGGGGTATTTCATCGGTATGTTGCCACAAAATCTTTGGCATGCTTGTGATGAGATTAATGAAGGAAAAATAAGGAGTAATATGCAGGAGATTAAAGTGGAAGAATTCTTGAAATTCATGATTGGTTGGTGATTAAACACCGATGGTAAAGGGAATAAGGGAGAGGAAGAGAAATGATGTAAATGGTGGTGACATTTTATATTAGTGAGGATTGAAGAATGGATAACTTTATGGTAAAGAGGTTGCCTTTTGGTAGTGCCCAGATGAGATGTACTCTTGCTTTATGCGGATTAGTTAGATTCTTCCTTCTATTTTTTGGATTCTATGATCTCTGTTCCAAGAGAATTTGATGCTTAAATCTCAAATGAAAGGTCAAAGTGCATTACATATAGCTTACCAAGCAGAATATTTAGATGACTTCCACTGATGGTGTTGTTGGGCTAAAATGGCACAAAGATACTCTTAACATGGTGTGATATTGTCCGCTTTGGACCAAGCCCACACGATTTTTCCCAAAAGGCCTCACACCATTAAGATTATTCAACTCCTTATAATTAGCTTATTTTTCTTTTCTATTTTCCATGTGGAACTTTATTCGCACACCAACAGATGTTACTTGCAAGTAAGAATTCAGAAGTAAATACTGAAGTTAGCTTTTCAATCAGAAATATTGGCTAGTAATAGCACCCAAGATTACGTCCTAACCGTCAATGAAGTGAGAACTATGAGGTGATTTTTTCAGCAAAGACAAAAATGCTAGGTGATTTCTCCATCTACATGTTGGTGAAAAGTTACCGGTGCGGTGCTGGTGAAAGGTAGAATAGTTAGAGATGTGCTCAAGTTGGCCTGGATACTGTTGAATTATGGAGATTGATCTCCTGCAGAACCCTAGATCAACGAGGAAGAGAAGAGAAAGAAGAAGAACAAGAAGAGAAGAGAGGTCTGAGAGAAGAAGATGAATGTAACAGTGAAAATGCAACTCCTATTTTCTTCTACCTTCTATTACATTTGTACACACATATATATATACACACGTGTAACTAATTGTGTATATCAAGCACTAACTATATCTAATTCTCTAACTGACTAATCACACTTAAATAAGCTAACCACTACTTACATTTAAGTGACCCCTTTCTTCTCAACACTCCCCCTCAAGCTAGGTGGTATAAAGATATCAAGTACCCCTAGCTTGGACAACAAATATTCATGTTGAACTCTGGGTAAGCCCTTGGTTAGTATATCTGCTAGTTGTTCCTTAGTTGCCACATACTCTGTCTTCACTTGCCCATTCTGTATTTTCTCTCGTATAAAGTGACAGTCGATTTCAATGTGCTTCGTGCGTTCATGGAATACTGGATTAGCAGCTATTTGGATTGCTGCTTTACTGTCTGTGAGTATGTTCACAAGCAGTTCAATCCTTATTCCAATATCCTTGAATAGTCCAAGTATCCAAACTATCTCAGCTACTGTTGCTGCAATGCTTCTATACTCTGATTCTGCTGAGCTTCTAGAGATTGTGCTTTGCTTCTTTGACTTCCAAGACACTAATGACTCACCATATTTGACAAAGAAACCAGTTACTGACTTCCTTGTGAGGGGACAGGCAGCCCAGTCAGCATCACAATATGCTGTAATAGTGTTCATCTTCCTGCTGGACATTAGTATGCCTTGTCCAGGCTGTCCTTTTACACACTTGACCACTCTTTGTGCAGCTTCCATATGTGATTTCTTTGGCTTCTGCATAAACTGACTCAGTGTCTGAACACTATATGCTATATCAGGTCGTGTGACTGTTAAGTAGAGTAGTTTCCCTAGTAATCTCTGGTACTGACTAGGATCTGTTAGGAGATCATCTGTTGTGCCTTCAAGTACACCAATATGTTCATCATACTCCTTAGTAGTGAGCTTGACATTAGTTTCAATAGGTGTTGCTGCAGGCTTTGCAGCCCCTAGTCCTAGCTCAGAAATGAGCTCAAGTGTATATTTCCTTTGATGCATCAGAATGCCTTGCTGAGACCTGGCAAATTCAATGCCTAGGAAATATTTTAACTCCCCAAGGTCCTTCATTTTGAAAGTCTGTTGTAGCTGAGCTTTAACTGCATTGATAAGAGATAGATCAGGTCCAGTTAGAAGCATATCATCCACATAAACAAGGATGATAACAGTGTGATTCCCTGTTCCTTTTACAAATAGTGAGTGATCATGTTGGCTCTGCATAAAGCCCAAATGCACAAGTGCTTCAGACAACTTGGCATTCCATTGTCTTGGTGCCTGTTTGAGGCCATATAAGGATTTCAAGAGTCTACAGGATGGTCTACTCTCCCCCTGACTCTGAAATCCTTGAGGCAAAGTCATATAAATTTCATCATGCAAATCACCCTGTAAGAAGGCATTGTACACATCCATCTGGTGGATGTGCCAATGCTCAGAAGCAGCTGCTGCAAGAACAGATCTGACAGTAACCATCTTGACAACTGGACTGAAGGTTTCCTGATAGTCAATACCCTCTTGCTGGCTGTAGCCCTTGGCAACAAGCCTGGCCTTGAACCTCTCAACCTCACATGAGGCCTTGTACTTGACTTTGTAAATCCATTTGCACCCAATGGGGGTTTTACCAGCAGGCAAGGGAACCACATCCCAAGTGTGGTTAGCTTCCAAAGCAGCAATCTCTGCCTACATGGCATCTACCCACCTCTGGTCTTTAGCAGCTTCTTCAAAGGAGGAGGGTTCCACTATGGTGGAAAATGCAGCTAAGTAGGCCTGATAGTAGGAGAAAGACCATTGTATGACACATAATTGGAGATAGAGTAAGGCACAGCCTTATGACCAGGCATAGATACAAAGTCCTTTATCCAAAGAGGAGCCTGTCTAGGCCTAATGGACCTCCTTAGGCCAGGGCAGCTAGGTTCCTGAGAAGGCAAGTCAGGTGGAGTCATACCTGCTGGTGATTGATGCTGAGTAGAGAAATTTTGTTCGGAATCATTAGTAGCAGGATCAGAATCAATAGAGGAAGGAGGAGAACAGGGTGAGGTATTACTTCTGAGCTCAGCATTAGTAGGAGGAGATTCAGGAGGCAAGAATACAGGTGGCATAGTTGCAGGATAATCCTTGAAAGGAAAGATGTCTTCCCTGAAAGACACATCTCTGTTGTTGAGAAAGCAATGACTCTCCAAGTCTAACAGGATGTACCCTTTTTGAGAATCAGAGAACCCCATAAGGACAGTAGGCCTAGCTCTAGGAAGGAGTTTATCTGTCTCTTGCACCTGTTTGGCATAGCACAAGCAGCCAAGTATTCTCAAATGATCTAAGTTAGGTGCCCTGCCATATAATAGTTCAAATAGGGACAATCCATTAAGTACAGAAGAAGGCATCCTGTTAATAAGATAGGCTGCTGCAAGAACACAATGACCCCAGTACTTGATGGGAATATTTGCCTGAAACCTTAAGGCTCTAGTCACTTCCAAAATATGTCTGTGTTTCCTCTCAGCAACTCTATTCTGCTGAGGGGTGTAAACACATGTCTTCTGATGAACAATACCATACTTCTGGAATAAGGTGGTGCATACAGAGTTAACAAATTCAGACCCATTGTCTGATCTGATAACCTTCAAGGTTTTGTTAAACTGAGTTTGAACAAACACAATAAATTGAGTGAGAACAACACACACATCAGATTTTAACTTCAGAAGAAACAACCAAGTCTTTCTGCTAAAATCATCAATAACAGTCAAGAAGTATTTATTTCCATCAAAAGTTGCATACTTGTAGGGGCCCCAAACATCTACATGGATTAGATCAAATGCACCAGTGCTCTTAGTATAACTAGTAGGAAATGGCAGCCTAGTTTATTTAGCACAAGGACAGAAAGTGCACTTATTGATGGTATCAGCAATACTAGCTAGTTTAGTAGGAAATAATCTTCTGAGAACAACACTAGATATATGACCTAGCCTTTATTGCCATAAGGTGATATCTGTAGTTCTTGACTTTATTCCAGCTGCAACTAGAGCAACAGCAGTAAGTTTCTTGGCCCCATGCCTCTGTAGAAAGTATAAGCCTTCTCTTTCCCTACCAATCTCCCTCACCTTGCCACTGAAGAGATCCTGAAATACACAGAAATCAGGATAAAAGGAAGCAAAACATCTTAGTTCTCTTGTCACCTTGGAGACTGATAATAAGTTGAATTTGAATTGAGGGACATAAAGCACATCCTTAATGGTGCTTTTATTTGAAATGTGACTATCTCCAATCTGAGTAACTTGAGTAACATCTCCATTAGGAAGCAGAACTCTTCTAGGCTTAGAGGGTGTAGTTAGGGAGGATTTGGTTAATAAATCTACATTTGACACCATATGATTTGTTGCACCTGTGTCAATAATCCACTCTTGTTCTTGTGAATTAGAGGATGCTAAGAGAGCAGTATCAGTACCTGCAGCATTTGCTTGAGTAGGAGGTGAAGGGCTAGTGTTCAGAATCTGCATTATCTGATCATATTGTTCCTTTGTAAATGGAAAACCACCACCTTGTGAAGCAGAGTTTGTTGATGCCTGAGATTGTGAGGAGGAAGAACTTTCGTGCTTTTGAGTGCTTGAGATTCCTTGACCCTGTAAACTCTCAAAAGCCTGATTCACAAACTGATTGCCTTGATACATGGGCATATGCTTCATTGCCCTGTCTTAAGAAGGATGATTGTTGTGCAAGGTCACACCATAACTTGATTCTACCATAGCATTATAAGCACCAGCTCCCCCTTTCCTTTTAGTCTTATAGTCTTGTGGATATCCTATGATTTTGTAGCAATTTTCTTTGCTATGGCCTTTCATTTTACAGAAGTCACATTGAGTATTATAGTTTTTCTTGAACTTTGGATTGAAGCTAGGCTTTGCACTATACAGGGCAGTGAAGTCATAGGCATTTATGTTCGCATTGGGAACAGATCCTAATATACCAGCATTAGCAGCAATAGATCTCTGGCTTTCATAACTCATAAGCATAGCATAGGCTTGGTTTACTGTTGGTAATGGTTTCATCATAAGGATTTGACTACGTGCTTGAGAATAAGAGTCATTAAGGCCCATTAGAAATTGATACACCTTCTGCTTACGTAAATGCACAATGAATTCTTTTGTTTTGACACAATCACAACTAGGAGTAGGTACTACAGATTCAGTCTCATCCCAAAGGTCCTTGAGTTTTGAGTAGAAAAAAAGAAATAGATGTAGTACCT